ACTTTCCGGATACCCAAAACTATACTAAACCTTTCAGTTCAGCATAGTAAAACAATAACATATGATACGTTTTACACGACTGGTGACTTTCCAAGGACTGACATTTAATCCGCTAGAATAAACAAAACTATAAAAGCCTACTCTGATGGCGTAAGTTATTCTTTCATTCTTTAGGTATTAGTTTTCGGATACTACGCCGTTTCTAATGCTTTTATGACTTCGGGAAATGTTCGTTCGTGAAAGGTTTCCATTTTCTTTCTTTCTTGTTTTACTTTCAGCAAGCAGACAGTGTTACAACTTCCCATTATCGCAGCTTAAATTAGATTTCACATAGAGTGATTTATAAGTGCATAGTTAGAATTACAAATTTCTAAACGTATGCGATTAAATTCGCGTAAAAACATTAATTTGGCTAGATTGGCTGGATATCATGAATAAATAACTAATATAATGTATTGTCATTTTGAATCGAAATATTCAGTTTGTAGAAACATTAGGTATTTTTCGAAAAGGCGAAGAGATGAAAAATAGCAACCGCCTTCGCCGGGAATCGAACCACGGACCTCTGGAATACCGGCCCAACGTGCAGAACCACTACACCACGAAGGTACGCTAGGAAGGCGGGAGAAATACCTTATTAGGTAAATAATGCAAGATACTGGCTTCCTTTTAGATTTTAGAATACCTTTTATATAAAATATCACTCACTTATTTAATAGATAATATATTTCAAATGGTTAATTTTTGGTGTATCATCGAAAAACTGTTCATTAATAAAAAATTCATTATTGATATACTCAGTCCTTAATAATGGCTCTTGTACGTATACTGGCTACGTATTTTCAGCTTTTTTCAGTAATCATGCTCATCCTTTCTGGTACCATCCTATTTTCATATATATAATGTCTTCTTAATTAATAAATTGTTCGCATATTGTTTAGTTCGCTATTAATGATGATATATGCATAAATTTTAACAACATGCTAACAAATTATAAAATGATCTCTGTGGGAATCTTGTTTTCAGAAATGAACATTTAGAAAAAAGACTCAAAGTAATATGTAACATAAACGCAAATTACTTCTGTTTTCCAGGCTTATTTAACAAAGATTGTAATAATGGGAATGCAGATCATTACCTAGAAAACGTTCAAAATGGTAAACATCTCACTCTCAACAAGATACGTTTATTCTGAATTTTGCGGCCATCTAACTCCGAGTAATCATGTTTCAAATGTATCAACATTACCTTAATCATGTTTCAAATGTATCAACATAATCTTAACTTTAATTCGTCTAAAATTCTTTTTTTTTTCGGTTATTGATAAATGAAAATATTATATACGTTTAAATGATTGATGATAATCTCATGAAATCTTCGAAACTATACAGTAGCTAAGACAAAAATTCACGCTTCAAAAAGAGAAAATTTAAAGAAATTGCCTCTCTTTTATGACATTAGTAAGTATAATGTAAACTTACTTGAGTCTAGGCATTGCTTTGATCTTCTGGTTTAAATATTTTGCTGCTTTGGGACAAAACTAACAAGACGAATTACATTTACTTTATGCTACATATTTCTTTAGCACTGTACGAAAGGTGAGACCTGTTTTCATTAGTAAGGCATATTTTATTTAACGAAACTACTACTTACCAGCATGCTGAAAATTTAATACACAAGAAACTTTTGTACTTGTCAAATACAGATACAAAAACAGATACGTTAATATATATGTATTGACAGATATAAATAGTAAGCTTGTATTAATCAAATAGGTATATAGTTAGAATGGGTGTGCAGTTGGATGTGAACAAATAGCTGGATATAGGTATATATTTGGGTAAGATAAGTAGACATAGACAGATAGAGATATGAGAGATAAATAAGTAGATTTAAAAATATGTAGACAGACAAATGCGAAGATACTGCATAATTTCAGGAAACAAAAATAAATAATACAAAAAGCTGTAATTAATCATTTGAAACATAGCATGCGGTCACCATTTGTTCGTTTGAAACTTACACGAATAATAACAATATTCAGCACTCTTTTGTATTGCAAAACTTTAAATTACATTGATGAATATGTGAATATGCTCTTCAAATATATTACCTGCTCTCTTCTACTTATTTACTCTAAAATCAATAAATTATCATTTTTAGAGCAAGGATATTTCAGTTTTATTGTAATAAAGAGAAGAAATGTTGCTGCAACATTTGCTAGATCTTTATATAATTTTTTACCAGAAGAATAGTCTTCTTTATGCATCTTCGTCTTAATATGAGCATAAGTAAGCATGAATCTGTTTTGGCAAGAGTTCGAAAGCTACGATGCACTAACTGGTAACTATTCTGCGAAATATTATGGGATTAGCGGACACGTGCCCAACTGTCCTAAATTGCCAATACTTGCATAATTTTGAACCGCTCTAGCCAACGGTTACAAAACTCAAAATAAGATAGGCTTAGAGCTTCATCTCTAACATTTAATTAATTACAGGTTTATGTCTATGCACTGTATATTTGTTCCGAATTTCGAAAACTGTTCCAGGGACTTTTCTTTAATTTACGCTGATATTAGAACGTGTATGAAGCAGTTCGTTTAAGCGCTATATTAGGACAGTTTCCAGTTGATTATAACCAATGGTGCCTTTCGAAAACACAGATCTTGCGCTATACAAGAGACAAAAACTAACGGTTCAAAAAGCTAGAAATTACTCACTGTCAAAAGCAACTGCATTTCTTACAGGATTTCTGTACCCATTTTATTACAGAAAGCAAAGCTAAAACATTAAATAAAGATAATAAATTTTTCTATCTTCATTCGCTTTAAAAACTGATTAGAGTATTTCTCTACGTTATTTGCTTAGCAGTAACTTCCATTTAACCAGTTCGAGTTCAGTTTTCCTTTCGAAATAATTACTGCATTTCTTGTAATTATCACCGGAAAATAAGAGAAGTCTCAAAATATTTCCCAGCAAAGCTATAAGGGTTATCTTTTCTAAGAGTGAACAAAGGTTACTGTTTCTAATTTCCCACAGGAATTTCTTACTTGATATTTATACTATAACAATTCACTAAATGTTACGCAAAATCGTTGCTTCTGTTTCATATGGAATTTTTTAACATTTAATTAGAAGAATTTTTATTAATAGAATTTTGTAACTCTGAAAAACTTCTAATACAATAACTCTAATAACACTTACTCCAAAAATTCTAATAAAGTATAATAAAAATTACTCTAAAAAATTTGGGTTAAGAAAATCAACGTAATTTAATTTCATGTAGATTGAAAAGTGAAGTTGAACGAGACTGAACTTTAGTAAAACTGAATTCAGTAATGTATCAGTCGTCGAAATTTCAGCAACTGTCACACCAGTTGTCGCGTGCGAAAAATCATTTATTGAGCCGCGAAACATCTCTTAATGCTTTAATCAGTCGCCCAACCTGCAGCAAGTTTGTAGCATTAAAATTCAAAACCCTTAACCCTAAACCAAACCGAATCAAATTAACAGCTGTTTGACTGACTGTCGTCGCTGTACGCAGTTACGGTTTTTCGATCATTAATTACGTACTCTTTCCTATTCATTACGCACTGAATGTCATTTATATACAAGTAATGTCCAATGCCGTCATATTTTCTTTTAACTAATGATGCTTTAAGATAGATAAAACTTGAGAGAATAATTGTATTTTATTTCTGTTGTGGGGATTCATTTAATTTTTCTAGCAATTAATTTTTATTTTAAAGTAACTTTCCTTTGATTCTCGTTTTCTACCCACGCTATACGCTGTTCTTAAACTTAGAAAAATCATCTGCCACACAGGAAACAATTGTCACTATTATTTTCTCTGTAAACTATTTCTCGAGGGAAGAGAAATAATTTTTGTGAATTATTTATTAGCAACCTGACTAGAATATAAAGAACCATTGCTCTTTCCTGCCTTCGTATTATATATTGTAGATGATGTTTGTTGTACGTATGAGGAATAACTGCTCATATAATAAGGTTTCTGTGTAGATGCTGGAGCGATCACTTATAGTTTTGTTTTTACAAAGCATATGCTTTAGCTGCTAATGCAAATAACACTCATTTCAGTAATTAATCTGTAATGGAAAGCAATCAAACTCATAAAAAATATTAATCTTTGAATCATAACATTAGTTGTTTTCTATTTTATACATTAATGCTTTTATAATGACTTTAATTTTTATTTCAAAAGGATTTTGTAACTTCAAATTGTACTTTGCTTGCTTACGTAAATTAGTTTTTAACGAACATTCATTCACTTGCATTTTATGTATTCAACCTTTTTATATATGTTTTAACTTACTTCGGGACTATATTCTATTCATCTGAAAAGGTATAGTAAAGTATGAATCTTTTCAGACAAAATTGATTAATTTAGGAAAAATGATCCCTTCTTCGTCTACCCCTTTATTTGCCACGTAAAAATAAATACTTTTTCTTAATTTAGGAAAAGTGATCCCTTCTTCGTCTACCCCTTTATTTGCCACGTAAAAATAAATACTTTTTCTTAATTTAGGAAAAGTGATCCCTTCTTCGTCTACCCCTTTATTTGCCACGTAAAAATAAATACTTTTTCTAACAGTCACAGAAATAACCATTGCTTTTGAAATACCGGCAACGATCCCTAAAGGTTTAAGGAGAAGGCACAGGTGATGTTCCATATTACTGTTGAAAAAACGTATAGCAAGCAGTATATAATCGAAAGAGTCAAACTTTTCAGATCTCCTCTCAATAGCAGAATATAGCTGCCTACAGGAGCTATTATACTATGAGTCACAGTTCATATCGATTTTTTTTCCTTCTTTTAATTGAACTATTTGAGAAAAGTATGCAAACTATCTGTTTACATTTGTTTTCTACCTCCATCGGACTCAATTTACAATAATTTACTACAAGTTTTTGTATCTTTCACCAGATGTCGCTAGCTACAGAAGATCAATACGATGAAAAGCCTGAATATGAAAAGCATCCGGAGAGAAGAATTTTGCTCTAGAGTGATGTTCAGTTGAGAACAATTCCTTTTGAGAAAAGCGAATTTTCGCATTTGTTGCTACTACAAAACTTCTTTTAACTCTCTTTCGGGCTGAATTCATCTTTCATATTCTAGGAAAATGGTAAGAAAATGTTTCGTAACTTTTTGAACTTATACATTATTTTTTTTTCAAATATCTATAATGCCTTTAATTCTTTCTGAGCGCTAGAGCACGTTAGGAATTCCAAGTTACGAAGTTTTTTACGCTGTACATTTAGGAATCTCATAAATAAAAAATCATAGTTATGTTAAATAAAAACACGTTGGCATCTTTCTGTCCCAAAATAATAATTCACATTCATATAACTCTCTCTTACATATTAAAGTTTTATAATAAAGTTTCCAGAGTCGTAATATGTTAGCAGATTGAAAAGAAATTGAAAAGAAATTTGAGGGCGAAACTTATTTTAGGAATTTAGGTAAGGTTGAAATATAGTAGATTAAAATTGGAGGCTAAGATTTATTTTGTGATTTCATGAAAGGTTGGAATAAAATTATGTATACTATTTAAGATTTCCATGCTGTTATTTTTTTCATACTAATGTACTTTTGCTATCTATCTCTATCTGCAAACGCATGTAGTTGGTGTACCAATATTTATAACAATAAATTAAAATGATATAACACAATATCTACAGATAGACATTATCATGCTTTTGGGGACTTATTTATTTTCGGAAACAGCATATGTATGTGTGTGTACGTATTTTCACTGACACTTATGATTGTTATGATTACTTCTTATTCATAATTAGATACGTAATACATAATTCTTCTTACATGTATTATAACTTCTTTCTTCGTTTGTTTCGTACTAATTAGAGCATAAATTAAAATAAAGAGTTTTAGGAATACAATATAGCTTTTTTATATAAAATAAAATAATTGATTTTATTAAAAAGCACTGTACATTACAAGTCTTATGTTTCACGCGTGAAGAGGAAAATCGAAAAATGTTTACTTTTAAACCTGCATTCTAAGTTATTTTCCCCCAGTGAAGGAAACAATTATGAGATATTTCTCTTTACTTGGTCCGGGAAAATATTCAAAACTTAACATTGTTTCTGGCAAAAGTTGTTAAGGAGGGATTAGCGAGAAGCGAAGGAAACAATATAAGAATATGTTATTTCACTTCTATTACTCCCCTGGCTGAGGAATGTGCTATCTGGATATTAATATTTTCAGTCCCTCTGAAGATAAGTAGAAATTAGTTCCTTTTCCTTTTGTTGACTTCTCCTGGAAATATGTTTGAAATTATGGCAACAAAATATTATTATCTACACTTAAAGCGTTACCCTAAAAATATTCGATTTTACTTATTTCTTTCTTTTTACTAATTCGTATATTCAACACCTTTTATCCTTACACTTAATGAATGAAACTATATTGTTATGTAAGAGAATGGCGTTAATTGTAATGAGAGTTTGGTAAATGTTAAACATTTTAAATTTGGTATTTTCAAATACACTTGGCAATTACGACACGAGATTTAACTTATGAAACATCAAATGAATCTTCTTCAAGTGGCAATTAGAACATTAGCAATGCACTAGCATAACCAGAATTTTAAAACGCGCTTTTGGAAAATGTTCTTTCTGAACACATTTTGAAATTTCCTCCAGATCTGTCGCTCCTCTTTCTTAAAGCAAACCGTCAGGAATGGTATACATGTACCTAGTGCTTAATTTTTCGCTTTTTTATATCCATTAATAAAGAAATCAAACGAAAAGTAATTACGTTCGATAGTAATGCGAAGTTTTAAATCATTAAAGAAGTGAAGAACTACATTTTCCTAGGCATGTTCTCATGATGTAAATGGCTAAAGCAGCCAGATGAAAACGGAAGATTGTTGTTCGAAGCGCGGTGAGGGCATAGTTCTTTTTTCCCATTTATAACTACGAAAAGTCTGAAAGGTTTGCATAAAATGCATATCTTTCAGAAATTATCTAGCAGAAAACAAAAAAATAACTAAACAATATATTATTTGAAACTTTAGCATTTAAAATGACAAGTGAAAGATCTGAGTCTAATTAGCGCCTGCTGAAAATTACCTAACAAGTAACGTGGAATAGTTGTTATGTAAATTTCAGATTTAATTTGCAGCGATCATAGCGGGAAAAGGAGTTATCTGGAATGACGTTCTTAATAACGAAACAATTTCCTTTAGAAGGTTCTTCTCGAAGGTGTCCCATTCTAGAAAGAGAGAGCTCTGGTGCACTATCAACCGTGAAGGAACCGTAGGCAGATTACGCTACTGTGCTTTCTCATAATTAATTACCATTTTCTTAACGAAAAATAGCTTTTCTTCATAGAAACACATTTTACATGTCTTATGAAATTTGAATTCTTCATAACAGGAAAATTATATTCAAGAAAATTCGAACTCTTTCTCATTCTAAACAGAAAGGCGAAACCACTATAGTCCTCCTGGTGGAAACTAGGAACTTAACTATAGCATACATTGTCTCCTAATACTAGATTTATTTAGTTCTGTATTTAAGTCAACAGATTTTACTCCAAATATTTTCCTATATTTGATGTGTTTACGAGGTCTGATTAAGTTTTCTCTCAGTTCAACAGTTTTTAAACTAAATAGGTAGGTACATTCTCTTTCGTATAACAACCTCCTCCAATTTTGTTCGCGTTCTCCCAAAGTTGGTTTCACAAATTTTAAATATTCTCATTCTGAATAAGGAATCCGAATAAGCTATTTAAATGAGGTAAGCGGACTTCCTGAATTTTCAAGTATGCTGTTTTCCCAGAAGCATATAAAGCTTGCTCATTTTTCCCATAAAATATTCAAAATGCATTTTCAGTAAAATGTAGATAAATACATTAACGAATGGATGTACCTATTATATTTTCTCATCTTTAATGAGACTGTGCATATGGTATTATTTTGGTCCTCCGTTTCTATGCAAACGTTTCTTCTTCTTTTTCTTCTTCAATGGCCAGACAGCCCAGGATGAGCCCTTGCCTTCCTTCTATCCCTGGCCATGGACATCCAATTGTTATTTTTAAAATTCTTAAGTCTGTTTCCAAACAGTCGAGCCACCTAAATTTTAGGTCTCCCTCTTTTTAGGGTGCCGAATGGTCTGGCTGAGAAGATCTTTTTAGCTACTCGATTTTCATCCATTCTGCACAGGTGTCCTGCCCATTTAATTCTCTGTATCCTTATATATTTTACTACATATATTTCTTTAAAGAATTTATAGAGTTCAGCGTTAGTTCTTCATCTCCAGATATTGTTACATTTTATGCCACCAAAGATACCTCTCATGATTTTTCTTTCAAAGACAGAAATGATCCTTTTAGCTTTTTCTGTCATTGTCCAGGTCTCAGCTGAGTATGTAAGAATGGGTCTGATTAAGCTTTTGTAAACTAAAATATTCGTTTTTCTGCTAGCGAAGTTAGCCTTCAAGTATTTTTTGAGAGACCGAAAAAACATCGGTTAGCATCTGTGACTCTACTACAGATCTCGGGCATTAAATTATTGAGTATATTAACTTCTGATCCTAAATATTTAAATTTGCTAACAGTTTCAACTTTGTAATTCCCAATTTCAAAATAGGGGCTGCTGTTATTACCACATGGCATGTATTTAGTTTTATTTTGATTGATTGCTAGATGCATTTTGCTGGCTGCAGCCTCTAGAGATGTAAAAGCCTCTCTAAGTGACTCGGGAGTGCGTGCGACTAATTCAATATCGTCAGCCAACGCAAAACGTTAATACAAACGTTTCCTCTTCGTACAACAGAAGGTTTCTTTGCATGTGATAGTATTTCGAATGTTTTTTGCAAGAAACCATTACTTCTTTTAAATATTAACATTGATGTTTTCTATCTAAACCTCTGCGCAGTATTTTGGAAAATAAGTCAGTAAGCATTTGAAACCAAATACTGCTTTTACCTTTTTGAGGTTTTCTTAAACACATTTTTACTCATCTTGATGATTTTGTACTTTGGGTTCTTGTTGTGCATAAAATGTGTTCTAAGAAGAAGTTACTTCATAGCAGAAAGAAGTTTATAATCTTTGCGCTCAGTATTGTATCTGAATTTAACTGTTTCTTATCCCTAAATCGGAACAAGAACACAGGATGCCATGTGCCTCTTGTATTCCCATCTGTTTAAACTGAACTCCTTATAATCTTTATCTTAAAACATTTTTCTAAGAAACCGTGTAACCTGACATCATTTCAGAAATCTAGACACAGAGCTGTTACAGAAGTGCCAACACCTATGGCTTACAATTATAGTTACTATATTACAAATTGCATGAATGAATTACAAATTACGCCACTTTATGGATTCATTTTGAAAATAATGTAAAGACTAATTTTATACTTAAGGGTTGCTTTTACTTAACTTAGTTACTTTAGTAACGGATAGTTAAATATAAAAACTAATACATGGCTAAAATTGTGTAAATTTTCTTAAAATATGTATTTTGAAGCTTAGCAGCTTATATCACTAATGTATTTTAATGTTAAATTAAAATTCATGTATTCATTACCATGACAGTTTAATTTCGAAAATAATATATCCCACTCTTTTGAAACAATTTAACATTTTCATAAAAGTTATGCGTATTGAACTGTAACAAGGTAAATTTCTTACTTTTTCTTAATTTCCGTTAGTGCTTCATTGGGAAGCCTGATACTAAAATTATAGCCTGACAGCAACTTCCCATCGAGTGAACCAATGAGTTTTGTTCATCGAATGTTAATCCATCATTTTAAAAGTTTCTCTTAGTTAGGTTTTCTGTTAAGTCTGTCCACCAGGAAAAGAGACTTGGCTACGCCTACATTACTTGGCGTCGGACGATCCCAGTATCTTAATTGCGTTAAACCGGGACAAACGGCGCAGGCTTTGTAACAATGGGACTTGGATTCACTCATTTGCAACCGTGGATGGGCTCATTCGATTTCTGCCCGCACTGAAATGAACTCCCTTTGCTAACAGGTGAAGTCAATTCTCGTCTCGTGGTGGACGAACTATACCGCCAAGATGCGGTTGTTCCTGACTAAAACATTTCTTTAACCGGTTACAGATATTTTCGACTAAACAAGCGAATTTCTTGGTC